AAGTTTCATTAGACTAAATTCTTGCTTATGCCACTGCGGTGGGGTTCCAGGCAGCCACGGATATTTGACGAATTATGGCGAATTTTTATCACTTATTTGATAGGCATCGAGCTACTATAATATGACTTCATGTAGGCTATGTATTCTAATGTCGAAATCAGCTTCAAAAACCAAAACATTTTGAATAAAACAAGAAACAACGAGTTTGCAATGTAACCATCTAATTTCCTTACAAATCATCTTTCTTTAAAGTGAAATTCTACATTATGGAAATTTTGCACGAAATCTGTCAACCACGATGTTAAGGTCGAGGTTGCTTCCCCTATCGCGATGTATTCCAAGCATCATGAGGCTATCAAAACGAGCATTTGTCATAACAGAACGCAAAATATTTTAAATTAGTGTCATTGAACTATTATTATTATTATTATCATCATCATCATCATCATCATCATCATCATCATCATCATCATCATCATTATCATTATCATTATCATTATCATTATTATCATTATTATTATTATTATTATTATTATTATTATTATTGGCGCCACCACTGGATTCAATAATCTGCTGTATACCTTGCTTTGCCATTTTCGATAGGTGATTAGGACCTAATTGTAACTTTAGAGCACTGGTGAATATTTATTACTTCGTAATTTGCATAACGAATTATTTATAAACCATGCTTCCTACAATGTCATTATTTAGATATAATGGCACTCGACTTCAATGGTTATTTAGGCCTATATATAATTGGAAGTAAAAACCATTATTTAGATATAACGACCTTGACACGATAACACGTGTGCATTACGTATAATGAGTTTGAAGTCCAAGCATTATGTTTTGCGACAGTATTATTTGTTTATAATGAAATGTAAAAGCAGTTATTTATAAATAATGAGTTTGAAGTCAATTCGTTATTTATATATAATGAAATCAATTAACTTATTATATATCATTGTAAGTTACTTTTCATTATATATATAATGATTTGTTACCTTTTTATTATTTATATATAATGGAATCAGTGAACTTATTATATATAAATAATTGTAAGTTATTTTTCATTATTTATATATAATGATGTGTTTCCCCTTCCTTATTTATATATAATGAAGCCAGTAACCTTATATATAAATAATGTTTGGTTAGCCTTTCATTATTTAGGCCTATATACAATGTAATCAGTAAACTAATTATATATAAATAATGAAACGTTAACGCAATTATTTACATATAATCTTTTAGACATATTTATTTATTTATTTATTCAACCATATTTCGAGAGGGTGACCCATTCAGCGTGAGCTGATTTTAAGGGCCCTCGACAATACAAGAACATATTTACAAAAAACAAACATCAACAAGTTAAAAGATTATTTACAAAAAATTTGAGATGATAAAATTCAATAAAATACAAAGGGAAAACAATCAGTTTAAAAGTAGATAGAAATAAAGATTAAATTGTACTATTATAAAATAAATAACTTTTTAATTTAGTTTTAAAATTGGAAAATGTATATAAATAATGGGTGATACTAGTCAATTATGTGTTAAATAATGAATTATATATAAAAAATTGTTTTAAATAATAAATTTACACTTGGAGCCTCATACATTTGTACCACCTAGCTACCCAAAATGAAATAGTAGGCTCCAAACAGACGTAGCGCGGTTATGGAGATAGAACATGACCGAAGCCTGTTCTGGCATACTTTATATACATGAAATATACGGTGTCGTAGGAAAGAAAATAATGTATTGCCTGCTGCCTTCTATTGGTGAAAAGTTAATATACATTGCACTTTGCAAATAACATGAAAGAGTATGTGTAAGAGAACGCTCGAAAATGGCATATTAATTCTCATTGGCTAACTTCCAGATTCCTTTCCTATATAATTTACTCACAATATACTCATATTCAAACAATACTAGACCGATAAATGCACTAAACGAAACATAATGCTTTTAACAAGCAGGTAGTTTCATGCTTTAAATTAATTTGTATGACGTTGATTTGATAGGGTGAGGAAAATCTAGTTTCGATCAGCATTTTTGATTTTTGTAAAGACATGTCTTGTTCTATCATTGACTCTCACATTCTAGTGACTTAGTTGTATGAATGATAATATTTAGATTTAAAATTCCAGTCATTTTGTTTATTATAATCCCATTTTAACGATCTGAAAATCAGGATAAATGTATTGTATCGACAAAATAGTCTTAGCCTATACACTTATATATTTAATTACAGAATTTCCTTCAAGTGTACGTATTAATTTAGGAATATTATTGTATGAAATAGTTTGCGAATTTTTATTGAGACGAGGTGTTAAAATTAGGGATGTCAACAGAATCACAAATAGCAATTAGTTGGATACACGAAATTTACACCAATTATAAAAAACATGCAAACCACCAGTGTTTATATTTTAGTTGGTACTTTATTGTATATCTGCATATCTCGTCATAAATGTTATAATATATACAATTCATAACCATCCGACAAGAGGCATATGATATAACTAGCAACCTTATAAATTATAGAGGATTGATCTAGAAATCACAACAAATACTGTACTGGTTTTTGTTTTACAATACACAGATTTCAGAAGTATTCAAATGATACAATTACCCGAAGTTCAATGTTTTGTACGTGATGAAAAACAATGCATTCGGCAAAAAATGTTTAGATTCACCTTTGAAAAACATTACATGGGGGAAATATCTATTTTTTTTTTTAATTGTGAGCATTATCTGTAATATATATGTCATTCATTTGGAAATTTAGACAGAACATTTCTATTAGTAATTTTTCTTATGTCTTTTTGAAGACTTGCCGAGGTATTGAGAACATGGGCAGTAGAGTGAATAGCTTCAGAATTTGTTGAATGTTAAAAATGTGTAATTATCGTTGAGGTTATGTAACAGTATTTTAATACAGTTTCTATATCATTTTCACAACTGTATACATATTTTGTCAAAGATAATTGTGAATTCACCTCAAATTTTATGGAAATTTGTTTGAGTCTACATATAGAAACAGAATAGGCAGCATCCTGATAGGACCCACATTCATTGGTGAAGATAGTATCGGATTTTTATAAAACTTTCAGTTGTTCACATATAGTACCTGTATGCACATGTTATACTTACAATTGAATAATCTCTCAAATATGAAAAAGAATTACTTCAGAATTCATTAGTACAGTATATGAAAATAAGTATTGCTTCTAAAATACTCTATTTCATGTATGAATGAGAAACTTTCTAGATAAACCGATAAGTTGACACACACACACGCGTGTAGGACAAAGGGAATAATCAGACCTATTACATACCGTATATACTCGCGTATATGACAAGGCTTAAAATAGCAAATTACAATTGAAAAACAGGAGGTTGTCTTTAATAATATATACATCAAACATTTGGAAATTTAGACAGACCATTTATATAAGTAATTTCTTCTTTTGTCTTGCTGTCCAAATTATTTTGAAAAATTGTCTAGGGATAGAGAACCTCAGCAGTAGAGTAAATAGCTACACTATTTATGGTAAATTAAAAATGTGTGGTTATCGTAAAGGTTATGTTACAGTATGTATTTTTAGTACATTTTCTAAATTAATTTTCAGAGCTGTTTACATATTTTGTTGAAGATAATTATGAATTTGCTTCAAACTGTATGGACATTTGTTTGAGTCTACATATAGGAATAGAATAGACAGCATCCTGATAGAAGTCACATTCATTGGTGAAGATAGTATCGGATTTTATAAAACTTCCAGTATACATACAGTATGTACACTATAGTGTACATACAGAGGTTTTGCCAGGTTTTGCCCGATTGGGAGGTTCGATGTCCCCGACGAGAGCAAAGTGTCTGTTGTCAGGCATCACTCAAAATATTTCAAAAGTGGTCCAGTGGTGAAGCCACAGAAAATTTGAAAATTTAGGGGTTTCAAAGTCTTTAAATCGATTTTGGAGTCTACTAATTTGTAGAAAATGCATCTAATTTTTTTTTTATTCCCCATGAGTTGTGGTTTTTCTACACGAATGGGGGTGGGTAGCTCTCCCCAACGGAAGGGCCCTTCCAGCGCCCCACTGGTGCCACCCCTGTATACATATCATTGGATCAATGTTCTATTAAGTACCCATTTATACAACTGAAGGAAAAAGAGATCAGGGAGATAAAGTATCTTGCTCAAAAACAAAAAAAAATTGTGACAAATATCAAAATTAAAACTAATCATAGGCTGTAAGTCAAAAGTGTTACTGCTCTACCATACAACAGCTTTAACGACCGAACTGAACCAAATTATTGCTTTAGAAATTAGCTTTCAGTCTGAGTGAATATAATGGGAGCTCTTTGACATTATTGGCAGCTACTAGAGTCATAAGAAAATCACAAATTCCATGTTTGTTCTAGCATACAGTAGGTTCACTAGCTTCCTTTACAAGTCACTTGTACTAGACTGATAGCACTAGGAACCCATGGAATTGTCCACCTTATTTGTTATTGATCAGCTTCAGTTGACAATCTTCTACAGATCATTCAGATTACAGTGACCTCCAGCAGTGTGACCTGCACCTAAACCTCATTGGTAGTTTATCACCTTTCATTGACAATCAGTTGCAAGACTTTTAGACTGACCTTGCCAGTAATATTTGGTTGTGCCATTTAATTTACCTTGTTGGCAATATATCAGCTTCCACTGACAGTCTCTTGCAAGTATTTAAGCTAACCTCACCAAATAATTTAGAAGTGAAATTTTAAAAGTTGATGCAAACACTGTTGGAAGTTCATCAACTTTATAAAAAGATGTCTTTCGGGTCCTTTAAGACTGACATCACCAGTAATATTTGGAGGTGTGATCTTCAATGTTCACATTCTCCTTAATGGCAGCTCATCAGCTGTCACTGACAATCTCTTGCATGTCTTTAAGACTGAACTCGCTTGTAATATTCAATGCATGATTCATTGCATGGATGTTCACCAGTAGCTTTGTTATGGTTTTGATGTGGCTTCTGAAAAAAAAAAAGATGTACAATAAGAAAAGTGCTAACCAAAAAGCTCAATTGAAGACCACTTTCATTAATTTAATTTTTAATTTATTTATTTTAGATCCAAGGCCAAGGATATGCCAAACAGCAAACTTTATCACTTTTCAAAGTGAAATATCCCTTCACAAGACCAACGTACACACAAGATGCTCTACATACACTAAGTCTCATTATGAGGCTTAGGGAGTGGAGTTGTTTTGGTCATGGAAAAAAAATTCTGTTACTGTACCAGGAATTGAACCAAGGACCCTGGGATTGGGAGGCAAGCATCTTAACCACCATTCAACTCCACTCCATCATCTTACTCTTACAATACCATCATGTTTTTATTATATTAAGCTGAAGAATTTTCAGCATGTTGGTAGATATTACATAGTGCATACTACAAAAAGAAATTATTGAGTAACCGTATTAGTTAACATACTTGTTTTTCCTTCTATCCAGATCGGAACTCCCAAAGGATCCTTTATGACAGGTGTCAACTGCATGACAAAGGTAACGACAGAATGGCTCCAACTGACGAATGGTGCTGTCGCCTTCCAAATCCTTGAACCATTCCTTAGGGAATGTAGATGTAATCTTTCAAAGAATAAATATAAGAATTTATTAAGTAACATATCTTTAAGTTCAAAAGCAAACATAAATACATGCCCTCTTCCAGTTAAAACAAGTCTTGGAAAATTTTAAAGGGCTTAAAACAGCAAAAACATGTAGAGATTAAAAATTATCATCAAAATTATCATCACCACCATCATTTGTGCATCATCACCATCATTGTCACTGTCACCATACTCATCATCATCATCACTAATGTTATCATCGACACTGCCATCAGCGTCATTATTATCAATATCACGATCATCACTATTATTATCAGTACCATTTATCTGTATTTCAACTAAGTATCATGTTTCTATTACTCACCTGTAGGCACTTGTTGACACTGTCTTCATTGATGTCAGAGTTTTGTAAGGAGAGTAGTAGATAACGGTTCAACAGACCATCAACAGCTACATCTAATAACGTATCCTGTGCTATAATGCCCTGCCAATTCAACATGTTGCCAAGCAGCTGTTCCATAAATGGAGGAGAGATATTAAGACAGTTAAAACTACAGCAGTCACCCCATAGAGTGCATACCTCTGCCCTGTGCCTGAATACCAACAATAAGCAGGCCAAGTATGATGGGCGAAAATGCAGCATACCCTCGAGAATATAATGGAATCACCCTTCGTATTCAGGTACATTATTTTATTGAGTGCTGCCTAAATATGTGAGGCGATTCCATTATTTTCTTTTATGCTCAAGGGTAAAAAATTAAATATCTGTGACATTAAACTTCTCCTTTGATTTTTTTCTTCCGAAAATTGAATGGTGTCTTTCTGGACTATTATGTATTATAACACACCTAAATAGATCCCAGTCATTTGATTGGATGATTTTGTACCATGTAACATTAGTTATTTTCTCCATTTCATCACTCATCATAAAACTTTTGTTCCATCATGCATTTTTTTCCTTCTGCATTGTCCATTGCACGTTGCTTATGGATAAACATTCATTATTTGTATACCATTTCACTAAATTTTACGATGATTTATTCAATAGTTTTTTCGTAATCTTGCTAATGGACAGACAGCATAACCTCCTTGGTAGCGGTAATAATAATAATAAAAGCTAGAGACAGAAACTAAAGAAATCAGGAGTGATGGTGATGGTGTAGTCTATGAATGAGATACTTTCCTAAATGAAGATGCATTTACCTCTCCATTCATATAATCAACCAATCAATCAATCAATCAATCAAGGATTCAATCAATCAATGATTCAGTCAATCAATTGCTGGATATTTATAATCATATAACTCACCTTAACACATGACCAGAATTGCCTTTGTAGGAAGTTGTATGCGCCTGAGGACTTGTTTTCAAGAACGCTACAAGAAATGAATAGTGAAAACAAAGATTGGTCATTCATGAATATTTAATATAAACCAAATAAGTAACTTCACCAGTACATATCACATCTCACTAGACACTCTACTTTTGGAAACCAAGCAACATTATAATCACTAAATCAGATGTATTACAGGCTACATACAATGACCACTGACCTTTTGGGGAATAGGGGCATATATACATCATCATCCAGTGTTTTCCTCATTCGCACTACAACTGCTGTAAGCAGTTCTTGGGTGTTCTTGTTTTCGGTAGATACTGTTGGATAGTCCTCCGATAGCTTGTGTACCAACGTAACAAGGCGATGTGTTTGGGAAGTTGACATGGGGTCCCACACATTCTCAACCAGTCCTTAAAAAAAAAAAAGTATGATAAGTGTAGTTCATCTCAGTTTTTCTAGGTTTATGGGCCAACTTCATATTTGGGACTTCGGACGAGGACAGATTTCTTCTAGTCCACAATGACAGTGGCTGTGAGATGGACAAGTACCCCGGGTAATCCCATACTCGTCTCTTGGTTATTTATAGTGCACAAACCAATTGCATGCACTGGGACTACAGTTTATAGTCCTTGTCCGAGAAGACTTCTTTCACCACCAGAACCATATTTATTTATTTATTCAACTACATTTATAGTGGGTAGCCCTTTTAGCATGGCTGATATGAAGGGGAAAAATCAACGAGAAATCAGTATATTGTAACCGAAAAAAACACAGAAAGAAAAGGATATAAAACATGAAAATATATATATAATCATATACTGTAAATAATATACAATTTCTGTTAAAGTCATGTGAATATATACATATATATATATGGAGATAAAAGTGGTAGGTACAAGTTTAAAGGGGAGCAGAGCTAAACCCGATAATTGAGAATGTGATATTGAGTTTCAGTTTAAATAAATGGAAAGAGGTGGTGTTTTTAATGGAAACAGGATGCTCAAACCTAGGGCTGGTATTATGGCAATAGGTTATGGTGACACTGCCTTAACCACTCGGTCATTCCACTTGCCTATACTTTTTAGAGTATGTTGTACTGTTTGAATCTGAAATAACAGAGTTCTGTGATCTCAAATTTTAAACAGTTACTTTGTAAATTAAGAAAAAATATCACCATCATGACATTATAGATCAGCTAATTATAAAAAAGATAAAGAAATGGATAAAATTAACACTTACCAGTTAACTTCGGTAGAATAAACTTTTCAACAATGTTAGGTATAAGCGAAAGATCAGGATCATCTATATCGCACTTCTCCACATTATTACAACCATAGAACAGCATGTCATCATGCCACCTGTAATCCTCTAGGTCTTTATTATTTGGCTGAAAAATATATTCATGATTACTATAATAATATTCAAACTTTTAATCAATAAAAAACTTCTTAAAAAAGCTATCCATGATGACAAAATGAAAAAAAAAAAACAATTTCATGTGTGTCAAACAACTTACTATGAGACTGGGAAGAGACAAGATTTTAATTTTTTCTTAAAGAAACTGACAGAAGATGAGGTTTTGTATCTCAAGATTAAGAGCATTCCATAATGTATGAGAATGTGATGTATTCATTTTAAATGATTTTTTGAATATATCACAAGATCTTTGAAAGTAAAAACAAATGTCATTATTGCTTTTCAATCATAAATCTCTTTTAGTAATTAGTAATTTATATCCTTTGGAACAGAACCACCAGAAAGCAAAAACGAGTCTTTGTGAGTCACCCTGTCACTAACTGCCTGGCCATGTGCTACCTAAAAAGTGTGCTTAGCTCTGAATAGAAGCTAAAATGTAATGTAAACATTAAAAGTGTAAACAAAATTTTTTTTTAAATTATTTTCCGCTATAGTTTTCTGTTGATTTATTAGTTGAAACATTTTCTTTCCTGTCTGGTGTAACATTTTTATTGACTTTTAAATGGCATACGCCATATTAAATGTTTTAGTAGTTAGAAAAGAACGTTTACAATGACATCACCACAAATTAGCAGTTCAAATTTGGGAGTTGTAATTGGAAGATGTTACTGAATATAACACTCTATCCAAATTAGATTCCTTACCTCTAGAGGATTCCAGCTAAGGAGTTGCAGTTTTACAAATGGTGAGAATAACTTGGGTAAACAGAGACTAATATAAGCATCCAGATATGATTCTGAATGGTCAAATTTCCAGGCCTGAAACCTCGATTCAATGGATAAAACAGATTTAAAATCTTCTGTCACATCAGCAAACAAAGCATTAGCTTCTTCAATGAAACGGTCTATAATGGAGGGGAAAAATTGATTAAACAATTTTAACATAACTTCATGAATTTTATTTATTCATTCCTATATTTGTTCATTCATTCATTCATTTATATATTCAATGAATGTTGGTTCCAAAAGGTTGTTCTTCCAGTGAATATATCATAGAGGCCCTCTCACAGTAAAATACAGTACTAACCTGAATAAAATAAAAACATTTTGAACAACAATAAATTGAGGAAAACAATTCAGAATTTCCAGCATAACTTTCCTAAAAATTTTAATTAAACTGTTCAAAAATCATTTTCAATAAGAAAAAGAATTTAAAAAAACACCACTCAGCTTAAATTTACTCCAGTGCACAAAATATTTTTAAAAATTATGTAATAATATTAAACCTGATGTAAATATTAACTATCATACCAAGTGCATATATACCAGAAAAGGTACCAATATCAAACCAGGTTTTATGAACAAAAAAAAAATACTCACTTCTCTCAGCAATGAATTTACTCCTATTACTCTCCATCATCTCATCATCTGAAGACATTCCATCATAGTGCATCACCCCCTCTTGTTTAGTTTGCCTTGCTCTTCTCCGCCTCGATCTGAAATTAATATTGAATTTAACAATGTATAACCTGTATATTCTTTTTGCAAAATGAGGTTAGTTGAAAGAGTTTATTGGTTTCTTCACTTCAAATACAAGTTTTATCAAGACTTACAAAAAGGACACAGACATGTGTGTATAAACAGATTCCAACTGTAGACAGATCCATCACAGTTACATCAGGATATACAGTATATGAAGCTATGAGTGTGCACATTTTCATGATGGTCACCCCACCCATGGAGGAAATATATTAAGGAGTACCATCAACAGAGGATCAAAGGTACAGACTTCCTCGCAGCAATCGTCATATCTCACCAGTTACGTAACCGTAATTAACAATAGATAAGCTGAAATCGGTAACCGCACATGCACCAGAATCTGTCAACAACCAATTCAAGCCACAACAACCCAAGTTACGACTTTCGAGATCTTGCTGAAAATATGGATGAGATGACTGATGCTATAGATTTTTATGAATTAGAAGATGAGTTAGCTTTATTCTCTGGTGACTTCCGGTCCAACAGTTCTCCGGGGTTACTTTATGTTCTCTCTAAACAAAGATCTACCTGAATTCCTCAAACACGCACGCAAACAAGCCATGGAAAATGAACTGGGCATGTGTAAATGTTTTGTTTATATTTGTTTGTCTGTATGTACATGGTATTTACGTACTCCTCTTACACTACAGCGGCTATAGGGGTCTAAGCTTCCGCGGCGAGGAGCTGATTATGGTTTGCAGTTAAGAGGGGCCAACCTTGATTAGCTCTGCTATTTCCTGGGCAGCTTTTGTATTGTATTGTATTGTATTGCTTGCTTACGTACTGTAGATTTAAGTTATGAATGATCTCAGAGAAAGAACAGGCCTCGTCAAGGCCTTGTATATTCTTCCGAGATGTCCAAAGCTATTCAGTGGGCACGGAAAACAAAATAATGTCCACATGCTAAAACTACCATAGATATCTAAACCTATTGCTATTTTCCCCAGATTTTTCATGGTTTGGATCACTGTATGTGTGAAATGAAGAAAATACCTTGGGAGATCAAAGTTGTTACAACTTGTTACTAACTGTTCAAAGTTGAAAACTTTCTGTTAGTGTGAAAAGGGTATAAGTGAGAGACAGACAATTACACTAAAATATAATTGTACCTTCTTGCTTCTCTCTCTGCTGTTCTTCGTTGGATCGCTTCTTCGTCTTTATTTCTTTTTCCTTTCACTCCAGAGCCTAGATTTGGAGCCGATGCAGCTTTGCTGGAGATGAACTCCGCTGATTGGTCCTTGATGTCGATCTGCCTTCTTGTGACCAATTGCTGGGCTCGTTGCTTCAACAACACGTTCATAGCTAAATCTAGGCCATTAATAATTGGGACCTATTCGTAAAACAAATGATAAGTTATGTATGCTTGTAGTAGCATGATTGTGTGCGAATTCTATAGAGGAATAATAAATGTAAAACAATGTGTATATAAATGTAATGGTATACATAATTTCCTTGTTCAACATTAACAATGAAATTTTAGAATAGGGCTCTTAGAACTTTGGACAGCACACCAGGACAAAATCCCCAGCAGCGTGGATTCATTCACACCTCCCCCTATCCCTCGATGCAGTTAATGAAGTGTGTGTCCAAGTTATCAGACAAAAAAACAGCTTATGGATCTTCATATTCAAATGTTTTTTGTAATTTGGTTTCTGGTTTGAAAAATCTTGTAAAACTTACATCGTTTACAAGTAATAAATATTTGTATTTGGAAGAAAAGAGGATTGTGTATCAGTGTATACACACCAATTTACTTCAACCTTGCAGAGACTCATCAACCTCTTTGCAAGTTAACTTGCATAAACACAGCATCGCATTCACACCAACAATTATCTGCTTTCAATACTATTTCTAGTGACCTAATAGAACAAGGGGCAGGTCGTAAGATATACACAACCCTGATATTCACTTCAGCAATACTGTATCCATTTTTTTTCATTTTGAGACCCACCTTTTCATTGAGGCATTCTATCAAGTCACTGACATACCCCCTCATCTCTTGGAAGAACGAGTACTGGTCGGAGGCAGATTTTGTCGACTCTTTCAGCCTATCAGAATTGCTCTTAGATGATTCTAGCTGATCTGTCAACTTTTCTTCTTCCCTCTGATGAGATCGGTAGACTTCATCAACTGATTCAAACCTGCCAAGTATAATGTAATTTTTTTAACAAAAGAAAATGAAAATGAGTACCCCTTCCTCCATCATCAACTTGACAAACTTGCAAATACGTATTATAGAAATTACGTAATACAATATATGGGGCTTGCCATGTCAAAACCAGCATTAGTGACTAAAACAAAAGAAAAATATTTTTTAATATATTCATATTCTTCACATTATAGGGTTTACAATGATAGGTCATTTACTGAAATCGACTTACTATTACCAAAGTTAAAAGTATTACGGCTTCTACATGTTGAGCAAAAAAAGGAAAAAAAATAAAATAAAAATAATTACAAATATTTTTAAAGAAAATATTTTTCTTGCAAACTGATGCACAAAAAACAAAAAACTGAAGCAAAAGCAAAAATGCATAGTGAAGGTTCATGCGCCAACCACTCCAACTAATCAATAAGTAATCCTATCGTTTGGAAAAATTCTATCAGACTTCCGTAATTAACCTCCTTATATCAATCAATGCTATGATTTTCTTACGGTTAATTTTATGTTGCCGAGCAGCTCATACCCTCATTCTCCTCATTACCAACATCTCTGTCATTGTAAAAAGAAATGAATTAGACATTAGATTACCTGTCTTTGATATTTTTCTTCAGAGTCTCTAACGACACCTGTGGTAGATCAAGTGGTAGAAGCGCCATTGGTGGAGCGGGGGCTTCATCGCTGTATTCCAAAGCGCTATAATCTTCGCCGTATGGATTTGTGGAAAGGTAGGGGACTTCTGGATAGAAGTAAGCATCTTGTGAAGTCTGCTCTACAGGTCCTTGGCCCTATATATGAAAACAAATTATATTATTCTATGTATGCGTTAATGTTTCTGCCAATGAGGTGTGATGCTGTTGCATTCTGGGTAAATAGGCCTAGCATGTAACTTGGGTAACGAGGAGCGTAATGTAAAGTCATTGTTTGTGTGAGGCATTTAACCCATGCTGTCTCTCTCCACGTAAGAACAACAATGGGTACCTTTATGTGTATGGGTGCCTGAATAATATATGTTCATTATTAAGTCATTTTTTGTTACCAGTTTTTTAAATAATTTTAAATGTTTACTGTATTTTTATTCTTAATTGACTTTCTCGTAAACAATACATTTTCTTATTTAGTTGCTTTTAGTGTTTTAACTATGAAACTGTATGAGTAATTTTATTTTTTTAGTTTTTTTTTTTAATTTTAAATAATTTTAAAATTTTTAATTGTATTTGAAGAAGAAATGGTACTGTAGGTTTGGGTGCTAACACACTGATTACTAGTTGAATCATTATGGAGTGCTCCCAGGAAGCAATATGAAGTAATAATATAAAGTGCATACTGGTCTTGTCATGAATAATTAGTTTAATTATTAATCAGAGAAAAAAAAGGTTTATACCTGAGGAGCACTGGTACTAGTTCCTTTCCGAATCTGTTCCACTTCAAACAAATCCATCTCATCACGATCATGATTATCGCCAGCAAACTGATCTGTTTAAACAATAATGTAATAATAATTGTTGACTTATATATAGCGCATATTGTAGAGACCTCTATGCGTTTAGCATTATTACCCCATGTCACTGGATCAAGCACATATGGAACACATACTCAGGCCCCTTGGGAGAATATTCCACAATGTTGCAGCTGTAATCAGTGCATTTTTGTGTTTGAACCTACCAGGTACCCACTTGTACTCTTGGGTGGAGAGAAACAACCGTAGGTAAAGTACCTTGCCAAAGGAGATAAGCGAAATACACAGTGAGGGAATCATAATAAATACAATCTCATTCATTTAAAAAAAAAACTAAGCTTTCAAGCATTAATAATTGTTCTTTATGATAATGTAATAACTTTGGAAAACAGAAACTAAAATAAAACAAGTAAAATAAGAATTTATTTACACGCATTAACAAAAGATTTTTGGACCAGTACAAGTACAAATATACTGAAACAGCATTTTCCAGAGTGCAGAAAGAATTGATTGACTGATCGATCAATTGATTGATTGGTTAATCAATTGGTTCACAAGAAATGAAAATGATCTTACTTATATCAATTGATTCTATGATTCTCTCTCGATTAGTTTTATGTCGTACAGAGAAACCCATCCGCTCATTTTCATCATCGTCACTGTTATCATTATCATCCTCCCTGATGAGACGTGAATCATTAGATGCGTAGGTCTGGGTGTCATCCAGTGGCACAAAGTCTTGCTGACCCATCTCTCTTGCCATTTGTCGCTTTTTTCTAGCCAGGTGGATCAAGTTAGCATCTGGAATTGAGCCTAAAGGGAAAAAAAGACGGACAATTAACTGGTATTCCGGAATAAAAATAAACAATTGCTCAGAATAAATTATTTATTGATATTTAACTTTAAATGTTTGAATTGAGCCTGTTCGACTGACACTAAATTTTTTTATGAAATAAAGAGAGAGAATACTTAATATAAATATTATTATTTCCCATAGTATCACAATATAAATGTATTTAAGAATAAGAATTGCACTTAAATAATACATGTATAAAGTGGCCTGAAAATTACATTGTGGTATATATACATTGTGGTATACTGAGACATATGCCTTGGTCTAATTCTCTGCAAAATTTGCATGGAAATTGGTATTTATTTTTTTTTTAATGCAGAACGATTTCTAGGCATAACTTTTTAGCGTGGGAAATATATGCCCAAGTTATACACTTCACACTGATTTTTTTACTTTCTTTTTTTGGCAAAATAGGTTGACATAATATTACAAATTCACTGCAGCACACTACAAAAATTTTTCATTCTAAAGCTCTATCCCAACTATAAATTTTTTTGATAAAAAACTGTTGTATGTCCATATATAGTCATGATGTGCCTATATATGGTCATGATGTGATGTCATCATGACCATATTTAGGCAGGTCACATGTTGTTGTCAAATAAAATCTGTGTCTGAACAGGGCTTTACTTATTAATTTGTCACACAGCAGTGTGAAGTACCTGAGGTTAGGTTTCGGACTTTGCCAGCAATCTCATCTTTATCTTCCTCCTCTGCAGCCATAGCTTCAGCTACCTTACCGCTTAAGATGATGTTCTCTTCCTTGAGCGATGCTAGCTTTTCAGCTGTGTACTGACCTAGAAGAAACAAGTTTATTTTTTTTTTATTACTTCTGATTTTATGTTAATGTCCTAATCCAATCCATACAAACAATAATACCCAATCAGAATTATAAATGTATATGCTGGTGCCCATATCGTAAAGTACTTTAACTAGCGTGAATGATACCACAAAATCTGGCTCAAATTTGCGCAGAAAATCGATAGCAAAATAGGCGCAGTCTGGGCTGGTGCCACTGCCAAAATATTAACTCTTATATTCACCTGTGCCTGACGATAGTTGTGTTGTGTTACTTGGAGTATCATCCTTTGGCGTTTTTTTCTCCAATTCTTTCAGCTCTTTTTGACGATCTTTTGCTTTCTTTGCCATCTTCTTGCTGTGGCTGGACTTTTTCACTTGAAAAACATCAGCTGAACAAATATAAATAACAAGATTAATTTTATTTTTTTTCATATATTATGGTATCATGCATCACAAATATTTATAATATTAATGTGACAAGTCAATATTTAAACAAAAAACATTTTTTTTTTAAAGCTTTCTTACATATCATTGAATTAAATTCTTTTGTCATGTCATTTACTATTTAATATTCAATACAATTACAATACAGGCCTAGACTAGGGCCTGCCTATATTAATATATTATATAGGCCTAAACATATTGGCCTACTAACTAGCTGGGACCCTTTCTATGGCCTTGGTCAGGGCTAGGTACTACTACTCACTAGGCCTTGGGCCAGATACTACAATGGCCTGGTCTAGGCTAAGCTAATTAAAAATAATAAAGGAATAATAATTATAATAATAAATAGATTCTATTTCAATCAAGTTATATTCTTCCTATGATTATCATAAACCATAACCAATATGTTAACATTAACGACAAGAAAACAGCTTTGTACATAGCTATTCATTCTAGGCTAGCTAGGCCTAGGCCCCTACATACAATGTTCATCTTCATCCCCGCCGAAGCTGAGCAGTCCGGATCCCACGGAAGGCTTCTTCTCTCCATCCTTCAGTTTATCTTTCTTTTTCTTTCTCTTTTCCAGCTTTTCTCTTGCATTTTTCAATATCTCTGTATGATAATTATCTTCTAAAAATGGAATCTCATTCACCGGTGATTCTTCATCACTTTGAACATCTCGCTTTCGTATGTTTCTATTACGCTTTTTGAATTTGGTTTCACTTCGCACCTCTTCTTCCATCTTGGATCGGCGCATGCAGCTATAAATAACATCACATGAAGTGTGTAACCTTTCCCCCTTAATAAAATTCATACACTATTATCCATCTATTATTAAAATTGTGCTAATATAAGTTCAATAATAGTTTTAATTAAATAATGTAGGCCTAAGCCAATATATGATGAATAGGATACGTTTATACTATGAATATGTCAATTCTGTGATCTCATGGATAATAACTTTGTAAATTATGTTGTGGGCAAAAATGAAACTCAAATCGATGAGTGATCGTTGTTGTAAAAAAAAAACGCGTTTGCTGTCGCGTCGCCACTCATCCACATACAGGTAGGGCCCTAATACAGGACCCCTATAAAGGGACATCATTACGGGGACCAAAAGTGTCTGCCTGCCAAAAATATTAGAAACACCTCAAATGTTAAATTAGTATTCATCTTTCTAGATACAAATTTTGCATTCCAAACATGAAATTTAGTTTTTCCTTTGTTTTTTTTTTTAATTGCCTATCGGTATCTCATGCTTCCGCCGTTTTTTTTTATTGGGGTGCTGACTGAATAGGGTACCATAAGTGTCCCCCCTTATTCCTAATATGGAGCTTTGACACGTAGCCATAACGATCGATGACCTATTCTTTGTAATTTTATTTTATTGACCTGAGCAAGATCTCAATAGGAATGTAGAATTTACATGGCCGGGGCAGATGACTCAGAGTCTGAGATTAATATTTTTTTATATATTTTTGCGTTTAAAAGGTTATTGACCATGCTATTATTGTACGCATGTTGAGTCCAAATAAATAAATGAAAATAAAACGAAATGTAATGCGTAAAAGTATTTTTGATATGAAATTTTCTCGGTCGATGGTTCTCGCGAAATAACGAAAAACTCTCTAATGACTCACTGCATTACCGTTTTTATATTTTTAATAAAACCAATTTCTTCTAGTTTCAATACATTTCCCCTGACTTCGTGATAATTGCGCTATGCGCGTGACAAATTTAGGCCTATGATCACTCATGTGTTTCTGCAATGCGTGTTTCATCACTTTGGAAAATGCGGGACCGTCCCGCAGATGCGAGTTGGTTTTTTTTTTTTACTATAATGGGGTGAAGTTGATCATCTTGCCCCTTATGGGCGTTTCTTATGATTGATCCCGTTAGATCGTAATTATTTCAATTTATAATGGTGCTTATTAAAGCAAAAACCGAGTCCATATACCGCACACATAGCTGCAACGTCCGATACAAATACCATGAGATGGACGGCCTAATCAGTGTGACCACTGGGAAAAATTCGAAATTCACAAGATTCAGTCTAAAAAATCCCAAGATTGCTTTAAAAATCCAAAGATTGCTTTAAAAATCCAAAGATTGCTTTAAAAATCCAAAGATTCGCAAAATAATAATAATAAACGGACATTTATATTAGTATATTTATACATACAATTCTATTAATAAGTTCAATTTTAAAGCTTTTCCAATGAATTGCATTAGTACTGTAAAACGAAAAAGTGTTTTCTAAACCGACTCGTTCGTTTTGATTCAACAGTGTATAATTTTCTGAAGTGGGGAGGGAAGGGATGGTGGTGGTAGGGAATTATTGGAAATGATTAAAACGACTATCAGAAAACTTGAAGGTCTTTTTGAACAAATAAACAACCCTCAATTACAGCTGTCAACTTTGGTGTTATAAAAGGTCATTAGCAGCCCGGCTATTTACGGTTCACTTATTGATAAAATTTAAAAATCCACATCATTCCAAAAATTCCAAGATTTAATGAAAACTTAACACAAAATCCCAAGATCTCGGTGCCATTAAAAACCCCAAGATCTTGGAATAAATCCCAAGCTGTGGTCACAGTGGGCCTAATGGAAGCGCATCAAAATCTTTTTTTTTTTTTTTGCGCTGAATGATATTGGTTTTCGTATCTGAATGCTCGCGTCTCCCTGGGTCTTCCCAAAAACGGTACTGTTAATCATGGAGGTATACTGTAATGAGCTTTACATGAGTTGATAACAAGATACCAGAAAGTCAGGATAGCCTACTGTGTCATTTATTGTCTACAACATATTATTCATATTATTACAGATAGGTACGGCCCTATATTTAAATAGAAAATAAGGCAAATGCATGCATGTTATTCCCTTTATAATTTTGCCATGGCTGTAATGAAGATACTTAAGATTATGCGTGAGCCCTCTATTGTGTGATACATAGAGTAAGGACACATGAGCAGCGTGACCACTAGCTGCTTGGGTATTTACCCAAGATCTTGGGTATTTTGACTTGGTCTTGGGTTCTTGGGTATTCCGTTCAAATCCTTTGGTATTTTATTTTTACTAAGAAAATTAAATATTTTTGTCATAGAGGAAGAATTAAGAAGTAACAAAGTATATTTCAGTCCATTCAAGTAAGCAAAACTCAACGAAGTGCACATAACATTGTTAATTGACTGTTAATTGCTCATAAACATGTATTCAGAATAGTTAATTTGTGATTTGCTTTGCCATTGATCTTACCTAATTAATGCATTACATAATAAAACTAGCACTGATCTACACTGATAACACTGGCCGACTGAGGGCGTATTTTTCTATCCGTATTATTACCTCATGTATATTAATTTTAATAATTAACACAAACAATTACAATAAAAAATGGTTTATAAATTGAACTAAAAGGGTAACTATACATTCGAAAAACACGTATTTTTCAAATTTTAATGCATTTTCAGGAAGCTTGGGTAATTTTGGGCAATTTTTGCTGAATCTTGGGTAATTTCGACCCAGTCATTGGGTATATCAAAAATTGTGAGTGGTCACGCTGCACATAAGCCTTAATGCAGTTGCTAACAAGATACCAATAATGGAACATACAAGAAAGTCAGAATAGCCTGCTGTAGGCCTATATTATTGTCTATGACATATCATTACAATTTGGCCAACTAGTTCAGATTCATTAATTTATTTGAAGTTGATAAATCATTTGATGAACAATTCAGTGTTTTTTCTTTGTTTTTTTTTTCATTATTGTTATGTTTTTTTTCCAACGACTTTTGAAAACTGCCAGAAAAACGGTAGTCACATCCGACGACGCGTTTGGGAAAACCCAGGGGTTGAAACGCTGATACAGTAAATCCGACGCACGGTTAGAAACATGACAGGATTTGATCTTCTGGAAAAAGCGTCTACTACTAGGTCATATTTATTTTTGTTTTTGAAGAGGGATCATGAGGTCTGGTTAGTCATAATCAGTCTCCATCTCTCATTTCAATATTCGTATTTAACCGGTAGAGAAGTCAATAACGTTGTCTTTATCGATTGACTCTTGTGAAACTTTTTGTAAAATGTCAGGCAAAATGTGTGGAGGTATGAAGGAAACAGAAGCTGCAACAGCAGAAGTGCAAGGCCTGATTGACAAGGTACTGTAAACTGTAAACAGGAGAGTTCTAAGTAAGTCTGGTTTCTTGGTTTGGAGGCTCTGCAGTCCTGGCATAGGCTTCGCGGGTTAATCTCCCTTGACAGTGCTTGATTAGAATTACTACTAGGGGCCTAGACCTGCTTAGCCTACATACAGTAATTTATTCTGCATCTTTTTGTAATCAAAAAGGTACAAGCAGAAGCTGAAAAAGCTGCAGGAAGATCCTTTGAGAAATATGAAGCCAAAATATTTGCAACTCAACTGGTGAATGGCGTGAACTATTTTGTCAAGGTATGGAAGAGATGAATTCTTCTTCGCTCTCTGTTCTAGCCTACAGTATTGTGGCGGATTCGGCCAAGCAGTCTCAGTCTAGTCTAAGTCCTGCGTAAGTAAGTCTGTCGGACACGCCGTCAGATAATACGGATCGACTATTGAATAAACTTCAAACAAAATTAACTGAGTTTCTCATAGCATTTATTGGGTCAATAAAACTGGTACCATTATCAACAACAAATACAATGTCATATATGCGGAGCACACAGCAGCCGCCGACCGGTTCCCGTTAACACCGGAATTAAACTATAAGTAGGCCTGTCCCTTACTGGGCTCTCAAGTCTTAATGACTGAGTTCGACTATAAACTATTTCATAGAATTACTACAGGTCCTACCTTACTAAACACTAACGTCGGGATTTCCCAGTTCTAAACTTCATGAGATCCAGAGCTCAACTACTACATGTCTTGGGCGATGGGTCTTAAGATCCCAACCCAGCTA